AGAGTAGGCGTCCATAAAGCTCATCAAAGCATGGCCGGCTGTTGAGTCGACCAGGTTATCAATTTTAGGCAGAGGGTAACTGTCTTTGGGGCACGCCTTGTTTAAGTCTGTGTAGTCTACACACATTCGCCAGGTGCCATTCGGCTTTTTAACAAGCACCACATTTGCAACCCAGTCTGGGAAGTAACAATGCCGAATGAACCCTGCATCAAGTAATTTTTTAACTTTGGCGGCTGCCGCCTGACTTCTTTCTTCGCCATGGTTCCGCTTCTTCTGCCGTACCGGCTTCTTTTTCGGATCCACGGCTAGTTTATGTACCGCCAGATCAGGACTAATGCCTGGCATTTCATGGACTTCGAATGGAAAGATGTCCTTGTATTCTTTCAATAGTTTGTGAAAGTCGTCACCAAGGTCTCTCAGAGCAGTCGTCCCAACTTTGACTGTTCGGTCAGGACACGAGTCGTCTAGGATCAGATCCGTATGCTCACCAGCCGGCTGAGGGCGGAATTCATCCGACCGCTCCTCTGCCAATGATTGCTATTTTCTGTCCTTTCGTGAGGTCCCTGTCTGGGATGCCTTTCTCTTCTTGCCGCCTGCTTCTTGAACAGGCGCACTCTCCTTGACATTGTCAAGGTCTGTTTTTCCACCACTTGACCCAGTGGCCATAACAGTGGGCTTGACATCCGAGAGATAGCACTCTCGGGCCATCCTCTGATCTCCCCTTAGGGACCCGACTGTTCCATTATCCCTCTCAAACTTGAGCAACATAAGAGATGGGATTATAACAGCCTTGGAATTATTCAGGGTTGGTCGTCCCAGAATCATGTTGTAGGCCGAGAGTTCTTTTACTACCAGGAACCGGACTACCATGTGTCGTCCTTCCCCTTTTTCGCCCAGACGGATGGGTAAATCCACTCGTCCCACTGGGTGGACGACTCCTCCTCCAAACCCTACTAAAGGGTGGGAGGCCGGATGTATGGAATCAGTCTGATATTTTAGTTTCGACAGACATTTGCTACTGATGAGATCTGAGGAGCTTCCGGTATCTATGAGGATTCGGCCAACTCTCTGGTTGGCCACTTTACATTCAATAACGAAAGGGTCGTCATGCGGCCCTCTTACCCCTCCTAGATCTTCTTCAGTGATGACAATCTCAGGAAATGAATATTTGGACGGCCGTTCTTGGTGAACGGAATTTACATCTAACCGTCTGATATTGTCTTTGTTGCCCCTAATAGTGGGGCCGCCTCCTGAGAAGCCGCCTGCAATGGTGTAGACGACTGCATCATCTGTATCGGAGCTGTCGGCCTGTTGATTCTTTTTGGCCGACTGCTTTTTTGAGGAAGTGTTCCCCGTAGATTTCTTGACATAAGTGTCCAGATCACCTTGCTCAGCCAGGCGGTCCAGATACCGCATGAGACTGATGCAATCATTGGTGTGATGACCAACATCATCATGATAAGCACATAATTTATCTTGGTTCCGGTTGTTTGCAGAACCCTTCATGGGGACTGGCTTCTCAATTGAGATCCGTCCCTTGATTTCTTTTAGGATAAACTGGTTATCCTTGTTAAACGCATACTTTGGGGAGTATGGTTTGAATTCTTTTTTCTTTTTCTGGGCCGTCTGTTTAGAGGAATCAGCCGCCCAGACCTCTTTTCTCTTCTCGTCTTTGTTTGACGACTGTTTCTGTCGTCCTTCTCTTTTGTCGAACCTTTTCCCGTCCGACTGTTTTACCGTACAAAGATCAGTCGCCTGTATATAGGCTTCCGCTTCAATCAAGGCCTCTTGAAGAGTCGCCACCCTCTTTCGGACCAAATTAAATTAGAAGGTCGACCCGTCCTTGAGACCTCTGAAAAAGTCAGTATAGGCTACTTCATCCGGTAACCCTTGAATCTGTATTCTCATCAGGTTAAACCGCCTGATGTAAGAACGAAGACCCTCCTTCTCGCCCTGCTGAATTGTTCCTAAATCAAGGGTCGTCTTCTTCGCAGGGATGTTCATGGCGAAGTTGGAGGTGAATAAGTAAGCAAGCGTCCTGAAGTTATTTACACAACCAGTCGGCAGGTTGCCGAACCATTGTTGTGCGATTCCTTTGAGAGTCGCTGGGAAACACTTGCACCAAGTGGGATCATCCAACCCTTGAAGGTACATCAGGTTGGTGAATGCCATCAGATGGTCTTCTGGGTTAGTAGTGCCGTCATAGGCGCCTACTAATAAATTTTACACTTTGGCCGGCTGAGCGGCTTCAGTAATTTCCTTGGAGAAGGCCGACGGCTGTTCACCAAGTCTAAGCAACCGAAGCTGCCAGTCCATAGGTTGGACATTTTTTGCTGCATGACCACCAAACGGAGGTGGCTGTGAAAAATACTGTTGTTGCGGTACAAACGGTAAGTTTGGTACCGCCTGGTCGCTATGAAAGCCGGACTGACGGGAGGTGCCGCCTGACTGACTCTCACGATACGACTGAGTCTGCCTCATTAAGGTATTTCGCAGACTGTCTTGAAAGTTTGAAGTAGAGGCCGACTCTGACAATCGGTCACTCTTCTTCTGCTCCAGCAGTAGCCGAGCGTCTGTGTATGATTTCCTCGACCCGTCCGCCTGAATATGACGAACAGGTTTCCTATTTCCTGGAGTAGGAAAATGGTATTTTGTGAAATCAAGGGCAGTCGGCTCCCGCTTCCTAGATTTAGGATGAGGAGTCGCCTCTCGCCCTTGAACTGGCTTCCTCTTTAGTGAAGTGGAGGGTTTCTTAGCCGACTGCTCCTTGTCCAGAGCAGGCGGCTTCTGTTTGATCAACTGTTGAATTTCTCCCTTGAAGTCCCTCATGAAGGTCATGAGTTCGTTCCTTGTAATGGGAGCAGATCCATCAGTCGGCTGCTGCCGAACAGGCGGTGCGCCTGCTGGCTCACTTCCAGTTTGAAGATGTTCCCGTTCCCTCCTTTCGGTATGACGGGTACGTCGGGCCCTTAAGGTCCCGTCTGAAGCTGGGTGAGCTTCAACTTCAAATTCATTCTCAGTATCGTGGTCCGACTGAACTTGAGGGTCGTCTAGGGGACGCCTCTCTTCAGGAGTCGGTACAGACTTGGATGCCATCTCAGAAGTACTCTCCCCACAGACGGCGCCAAATGTTTCGGGGTTTTCTGATGTCCTGCGGGAGAGTTACAATTCCGAGACTGGAACCGGACGCCTGTACCTGCAAAACAACGGAGACTCCTGGTGGTGGGAGCTCCGCCTCCAACGGTCAAGTTAGTACTTGATTAAGGAGTAATTAATGCGGAAATTAAAGTGATTGGGTCTCTCTAGGTGAGAGTGTTTAATGTAGGTAATCTGCTTTGTTAGCGTGATCAGCCTGTTATCTCTGTGTAATTCATGTAATCTCCCTTAATGAGGATTAAGGGAGGTATTTATAACCTTGGGAAACGTGCTAATCCTAGGTTTAGGTTAACCTAGGGCTGATTGGGCTTCCCTCGGAAGTTGGGCCTGGGTGGCCGGTTTCTCCATTAGGCATGGAGTATGCCACGTGTCATGACATAATAGGTCCAAGGTGGACGAATAAGCGTGTGCCACGTGGCAAGCCCTGACAGTTCCAACTGGGGGACACTTGGCAGGACCTGATTGGCCCACGTGGCGCATTCCGATTGGTGGGAGCAAAATCCCCTAATCACTTTTCACTATAAGATTCAAGTGTAGGCCAATACGGGCAAATGTGACTCCATGACTCATTTCGTACTATCATCCATGATCCTCCTTTCGTGGTTCCGAACCATATGTAGTTAGTAATCTCATTGATTATGAATGGGGTGTAACCTTCACGGGTCAATCGTTGTTGCCTTTCGTTGTCCCTTTATCGTGGTTGTGTTTTTATGATTCGTGAACGTATACAAGTTCCTTAAAAACTTGTTGGCGGCTCCCTAATTTCTTTGTCCCTAATCGTATATGTCAATTCCTACTTCCTAAGAGTGCCAAGTATATTCACACATGCTTAACGTCGGCGCACTTCGAACGACGACTACAGGTATGCAAAAAAGTAGAAAGTTAAAATAAAGTAATAAAAATACATGGAAAAACAAAATTTTCATGGAAAGTTAAATTTGCACAAATATTATTGCAAATTTGAGGAAATTTTGGTAAAAAAATGAATATTAATGGTTAATAGAAAATGCAAATAAGGTGAACATTTTGTAATTCGTGGTTGGTGCACCCGCTACAAAACGACATCCCCGAACACGTAAAATGCAGAATCCTCGCAAAAAAAAAAAAAAAAAAGGCGGAAAGAACATGGGTTTATAAATGAACATAAAGGCTATGATAAAAGAACGCGAGAAATGGTATAGAGGTTTCATTTAGTTTCGGAAAATAACTGACCATGTCCCACCTTTTTGGTAAAAATTTTGGGTAAAAATCATTTCCAAAGTAATCAATTTCTCTCTCCAGATCGAACTTTTCATCTATTTTCAATTTTTTTTTTTCTATTTTTTCAAAAAATTTCAAAACAGCAAAACTGTTCATCTTCAAAGTAAAACCCAAGAAAAAAAAATTGAACTTATTTCAACAATTCAACCTTCAAACTTGAACAGATGGCGGATTCTAGTAAAATGTAAGTATAAATTTTGTACATGCAAATTGATTTTCGTCAATAATTTTTAAGTCAAAGAGTTTAATTTTGTGAATTTGGGGGTTCTTTTTTTAAGAAAAAAAATAATTAAACCAATGAAGTACAAGTTGTTCAAAAAGAATAATTGGAGGAGAAAGAAGAATGAAGCCAACTGGAAGATAACCAAGCAAGGTTAATTTTTCAAACGCTAGCTGATGAGTGGCATTTATGCCACTCTTTTATCCTTTTTCTCTAAGGATTCTCCCCTCATTTGCGCTTGTTTGGCCCTTTTTCTAAGCATTTATACTTAGTTTTGCTTACTCTTTCCTTTTCTCCCTTATCTTCCCTTCTCTTAGTCTTCTCGCTTTGTTTTTATTTTGATTTCCATGCTTTGGTATTGTAGGTATTATGTGCCGAAAGAAAGAGGATATCAAGAAGCCAAGCTAACTGTTGTGCGCGGGGTACTGTGCGGCTTCTGTGCGGGCGCACATGTGAGGCTGTGCGGGGGCGCAGCCCTGTCAGAACCCGCACAACCAGACTGAAGAAACAGAGCCTAACCAGAGAGTTTGCGTGACTTGCGTGCGGGCGTACACACCTGATGCGCGGGCGCGCTCATTTTCCCCGTACCCTCAAAGTTGCGGCCGTGCACTGCGCTGAGAGGGCGCACACACATTTTGTGCGGGCGCGCAACTCATCTGTGCGGGCGCGCACGGCTGGGTTTCCGATTTATTTGCGCCTTGTTGTCCAAGTCTCTTTCGTTTGGGGGGAGCCACATATATATAGACAGGACTCTTTGTAATAGAATGACACTTAGTACTAATTCCATAGAAAATTAGCCTAATCTAGAGAGAGAAAATAGATTATTATTCAAGCTTCCTTTATTGTTTTCAACTTTGCTCAAGCTTTAATCTTCCATCAATCAAGCAAGTATCCAAGTTTTCATCTTTCTTCAATCCTTTATTTAGTAATCTCTTTTCCTTCCCTTTAATATTATTTATTTGTATTATTGTTACTTATTTTTGTCTATCTTATTAGTTTATCTAGTTATTATTGATTTCATATATTTCAATCATGTTTTGTTTTGAGTTTCTTGTGTTTATTTCTAGTTTTGATATTATGTTTAATCTCCCTTCTCTAGGCTAAACTCTTAGCTAGGGGAAGGGGGTGGAAGATATGCATTGAATGATGGATGAATGATGATAGTTGGATTACATGCCTTAAATTGATGAAAGACATGATTTTTAATGGCTTGAGATTATTGTTGCACTTTATTTGATTGCCTTCTAGTTTAAATGCATGAAAATGGTTTGAACTAGATTAAGATCACCTCTATTTTAATGATTGCATGAGAATGAGTTGTTAAAATGGAGTTTCATGTATTGTGCTTCTTTATTCTCTTGATTTGCTTGTGTCTAATAGGATGGATGAGAATGATCCTAATTAGCATAGACTTCTTTCATTGATTTGCCTAGACTATTGCATGAGAATGAATTGTTTAGGTAGAATCTTGTGTTCTTTGGCATGTTCATCATGATAACTATCATTGTTCCCCTCTTTCTAATCATGTTTGAAAACCCCGAACCCCTAGCGTCATTTTCTATTGATTTTAATCATCATTTTCTTGCTTACTTGTAGTTTTAGTGTTCTACTCAACAAAACCAACAAAACAATCTCCTTTTCACTCTTGCATTAGTGATATTTGATGTTGAATTAGCGTGCTTCCCTAGTGGTTAGACCCTTTACTTGCCACTAACTAGTTTAGTGTAGGTTTTTGCTTTATAAATGATTAATTTGGTTAGGGTGGTAGCTTAACGACTTATCTTATCCCTATCAAATTTTGGCGCCGTTGCCGGGGAAGCGGCTTGTTTAGCGAATATTATTGCTTTTGTTAGAGTCATTTTGCTTTCTTTTCTTTTTGTTTTATCATCCTTGTCATTGCTAATTGTTTGCTTAGCTTTGGTGAATGCTTAGGAGGTCTCAAGGAGCACCCTCACATCAAATTGACCACGAAATCAACCGAACCTTGAGACAAGCCCGTAGGCTTTATCAAGACGAGGGAAGAGGTTTTGGTGATATAGTTGATAGTGAGAGTGATACTTACTCTTCAAGTTCACCACGCGAATCAATGGCGGGACAAGAGAATGATGTCTTGTTTCGTGAGTTCGGAAATCCGGAGGATTATGAGCTAAGGGGAGAGATTTTTCTACCCGTCACGGAAACCAACTTCTCAATCCATCCACAATATACTCGAATGGTCCAATCGGAGCAATTTTCCGAAAGTGCAAGTGAGGACCCTATTGAACATTTGGACCGATTCCTTGAATTGTGCGCAATGATGCAAACCAATGAAGTGAGTCAAGACTACATTCGTATGCACCTTCTCCGGCAATCTCTCACCGGATGAGCAAAGAAATGGCTAAAGCAAGTAAAGCCTAACTCTCTCACAACATGGAGGAAGAATGTAAAGGCGTTCTTAAAGCGCTTTATCTCCGAAGAGAAGACCGCCAAAATGAGAAGGAAAATTGCATCATTTGAGCAAGAGGCCGATGAAAGTCTTGGTGAAGCATGGGAGAGATTCAAAGAGTTGGTGCAAGCATGTCCCCACCATGAGTACAATCAAGGGTTTCTCATGCGGTTTTTCTACGACGGATTGGAGCCCATGTCAAGAGCCAATTTGGATGCGGGGGCGGGTGGTCAATTAATCAAGATCCCTCAAAATCAAGTTGAAGCCACAATAGAAGAGGTAGCAAAGAATTACTCTTGGGGGGGGGGGCGAAGAAGAAATGCTCCAAAGAGAGGTGGTATTTACGAATTGGAGAAAGTTGATCAATTACAACATCAAATTGATCAACTAACAAAAGGTCTTTCCAAAATTGAACACGAGTGTGAATGCAAGTTCAAGTGGTGGAGCAAGCTCTTCTCAAGTTAACTCTTTCTCTTGTCAAATTTGTGGAGGAACGAACCATGATACATCCTATTGTGGAGGTTTAAGCCCCGAACATGTAGCGACATACAACACAAGGCAAGAGGGATTTAGAGGAAGCGGCGGTGGAGTAGCTTGGAGACAACCACCACCTGGGTTTGTACCTCAACCTCAACAATGGAACCAACAAGCTCAACCTTCCTATAACTCCAATCCTCAATATCAAAATCCACCTCCATATCAACCCCAAAACCCAAGAGGAAGCTATCCAAGGAACAACCAATACGACAATCAAACCCAAGCACCTCAAAGAAACCATCAAGAACAAGCACCTCAAGGGGAGCTAACTCAAACTCAACTCCTTCAAGCCATGCATGCGCAAATGCAATCTTTTGGGCAACAAATGCAAGAGATAAGAGCTCACAACAAGATGGTTGATTCGCAACTAGCTCAATTGGCCGAGAGAACTCCTTTCAATTCACCATCCACTCTACCCGGACAACCACAACCTAACCCATCTCACAATCCAAAACCCGATACATGCAAGGCGATCACATTGAGGTCGGGATTTTCCTATGAAGGACCAAATGAAGGGGATAGGGAGGAAAAGAAGGGAGGAGAGGAGAGTGTGAATGAAAACAAGGGAGGTGAGAAAGAAAAAGGTGATGAGATAGAAGGAGGTTCGGAGAAGAAGAAGACTGACAATGAGAAGACAACTTCAATTCCTAGTGAGGCTAGGAATCTTGATGGACCGGTTCCTTTTCCCGGTCGGCTTGCTGAGAGGAAGTTGAATGACAAGTTCACAAAATTTCTTAGTGTCATGAAGAATTTTCATATCAACCTCCCTTTTCTTGAAGTTGTGACACAAATGCCATCTTATTCCAATTTCCTCAAAGATATTATCACCAACAAGAGGAATCTCAATGATGATCTTATCACCCTTCCACATCAAGTGAGTGCTCTTGTCCAACATAAGATGCCCAAGAAGGAAAAAGACCCGGGAAGTTTCACTTTGCCGGTAAAAATTGGGAACGTGGAAGCTAGGGGCGCCTTAGCCGATCTTGGAGCAAGTGTTAGTTTAATCAATATTGAGATGATCCCTACAAGGAAGACAATTCAATTGGCCGATCGATCGGTGAAATTACCTTGTGGAGAGCTTGAGGATGTTCCAATTCAAGTGGGACACATCTACGTGCCTTGTGACTTTGTAGTGATGGATATGGAGGAAGATGTTAACACTCCTTTGATTTTGGGACGTGAAGCTCTTAAAACTTTGGGGGAGGTCATCAATTGCAATAACAACACCATCACTTGTGAAGTGGCCGATGAAAAAATTGTCTTTGAATTTTCGAAGTTGCTCAAGACCCCCATGGTTGAAAAATGCTATAGAGTTGACGTTGTGAATGAGGAGCTAGATCGCTTGGGGAGGGTCGTGATGAGGCCTCAAGATCCAATGATTGAAGCCCTTACATGCAAAGAAGAGTTCCACTCTCGAGAGGCTAAAGAATTTGTCATGGCAATGGAGGAATCCTCAAAGGAGGAAGTTGAACAACAAGTTGAGGTCGAGCTTGAGTCCAAGGAGGAGAAATTGGAGGAGATTTCTAAGCTTCCTCCCAAGGTAGAACTCAAACCCCTTCCCCCTTCTTTGAAATACTCTTTTCTTGATAAGGAGGGAAAATACCCTATTATTGTCAATGCTACCCTAGATGGTTTTAATTTGGAAAAACTTCTTGATGTTTTAAGGAAATATAGGGATGTGATAGGGTATAGAATTGATGATATTAAAGGTATTAGTCCTTCTTTATGCATGCATCGTATTCATCTTGAAGATGATCATTCCACCTCAATTGAACCTCAAAGAAGGTTGAACCCCCACCTTCAAGAGGTTGTGAAGAAAGAAATTTTGAAACTACGTGAGGCGGGCATCATCTATTCTATCTCCGATAGTGGGTTAGCCCGGTTCATGTAGTTCCAAAGAAGGGTGGAATGACCATAGTCAAGGATGAAAAGGGAGAGGAAATATCCACCCGGACGGTGACCGGGTGGAGAATGTGCATTGATTATAGGAGATTGAACAAAAACACCAAGAAAGATCATTTTCCTCTCCCTTTCATGGACCAAATGCTTGAAAGGCTTTCTAACCACGTTTTCTTTTTTTTTCTTGGATGGGTATTCCGGATTTTTCCAAATCCCTATCCATCCAAGTGATCAAGAGAAAACTACTTTCACATGTCCATATGGGACATTTGCATACCGAAGAATTCCATTCGGATTATGCAATGCTCCCTCTACTTTTCAAAGATGCATGACTTCCATTTTCTCTAAGATGCTTGAAAAAGAAATTGAGGTTTTCATGGATGATTTTAGTGTTGGTGGCTCGTCTTTTAACACTTGTCTTTTTAACCTTGAAAAAGTTTTGAAAAGATGTCAAGAGACGAGTTTGGTTTTAAATTGGGAAAAGTGCCATTTTATGGCTGAGGAGGGAATTGTCCTCGGCCATAAGGTTTCAAAAAATGGCATTGAAGTAGATCCGACCAAGGTTTCGGTGATTGAAAAGTTGCCCCTCCTACTTCCATCACGGGGGTACGGGCTTTTCTTGGGCATGCCGGTTTTTACCGGAGGTTTATCAAAGATTTTTCTTCAATCGCCAAACCCTTGACCGAATTACTAAAAAAAGAGGTTGTTTTTTACTTTAATGAGGCTTTCCTTGAGGCGTTTCATAAGCTCAAGGAAGCTCTCATTTCTTTTCCCGTTGTGCAAGCTCTAGATTGGAGCTTGCCTTTTAAGCTAATGTGCGATGCTAGTGACTTTGCAGTAGGTGCCATTCTTGATCAAAAGAAACAAGGAAAATCATGTGTCATCTACTACGCAAGTCGGACTCTAGATGAGGCTCAAAGGAATTACACAACAACGGAGAAAGAGATGTTAGCGGTAGTGTTTGCATTCGATAAGTTTCGGTCCTATCTCATATGCTCAAAAGTTATCATGTACACGGATCACATCGCGGTGCGGTATCTCATGACCAAGAAA